GGGCCTGTGAACACGTCGTATGTGAGGTTGGACACTTCGTCCTTTGGTAGACTCTGTGGGCAGAATATAAGTGACGTTCGAAGGATGGGACCTAGGCGGCACGTTCTATTTTTCGCTACACCGGAAGGATGCCAACAGAACGTCTGTTGTAAATGTTGCAACTTTCAACGACTGTTAGACAAAGTTCATAAAACGATAGGCTAAAATTTCGTCTTTACAAATAGACATTCTGAAATCTTTCCAAATCAGATTGATATCATCAAAAGCCAAAAAACTCTAACAAAATTATATTGCATTGAAAAGCGAAAGGACAACAGTGTTGTCACTTGAGTTGGGCCTGTCTAGATTCAGGAGTTGAAATGCCATCTTTCTTGTGCATTGAAAGTGAATATATCTCGCCCTTTGTCTCTTCGCTGGAGCCGGGTAGTCTGGGTGCCGACAGTAAGTGACCAAAGTTACCCTTCAACGTCATCCTAACATCTCACATATAGCCTATGACGTCATCTAACCCAGATGGGAGGTGTCCAAAGTTGTCCAAAGTTATGACGTCCTCTAACATTGGACACCCAGATTGGAGGTGTTCAAAGTTGTCATAAGTTATGACGTCATCTAACTTTGGACACCCAGATGGGAGGTGTCCAAAGTAATGACGTCATCTAACTTTGGACACCCCGATTGGAGGTGTTCAAATTTGTCCAAAGCTGTGGTCCAACTTTGGACATCCCCCCTCCAAAAAAAAAACATGGCAAATACATGTACTAGCATCAGATAAAGAGCTACATCCAGTATCAGGGAAACCTTTTCTCTGCCATTAAGTATCGTATTATGGTAACTTATCTATTCTAATCGCTGCCGTTCCCAGTCTCGCAACTCCTGGATTTCCTGTCTTCCCTCCCTCACTTCTCTAACCAGCTCCTGAAGGATTAGGGCCATGTTCTGCCCTCTTTCCATGGCATCACGATCGTTCTCGGTCATGGTGATCGAGTTTGACGGAAACAATCTTCCTCCCTGCTGTCTCTCGATATAACGTTAAGTGAATAAACCGCAAATCGACTGATTTGAAAACAGCTGGCGTATCTCTAATTGGACATTGCCTGATCACATGACGTGTTTTGGATGGAGTTGACTTGTTGACAACATGACGTGAGAAGGCATACTCTAGATACAGATAACAACGCAAAGATTCTTAGTGTCATTACAACACTAACTGCATTGATATGATGATCAAAATGTCTCTTACCTATCATAGAGAGTATCAGTATACTCCTTAAGCTTGCAACCGTGCGCCGCCAATGCCACTATGGCTGCTGATTTGTCTGCGTCGGGAAGTCCCAAGATGTCGTTTTTGATGAAGTAGACTCCATGAACAGGGATGAATTAAAAACACAATAATAGATAAAACATTTCGTTTTGGTGTAGACTAAACTAATCACATGCCATAATGTTCAACTGGAAGTGAACTTTTTAAATCTAGCAAAACAATTTTACTCTGCAAATTCAAGGTAGATAATCTGCAATTGTATATTACCTTGCTACCACTTTCAAGGGAGTTTACTTCCTGCAGGAGACCTTCCCTTTCAAAGCTTATGCTTTGCCAGTGTGGTGCACGTCGTTTCTGTTTTCTTTCCCCAGCTTTCTCGAGACTGCTTCGGGCTGCCGCCCGTCTGTTTGCGAGGTTTCGCGACTCGAAGTATTGATTCATGCGGTTTTCTTTGCGTTTGGTATAAGACTCCCGGGTTGAAAGAAAGTTTAATGCCTCATTCTCTCACGCAATACGTTGCGTTTTTCCCTTTGCTTTTCGGCTCTACTCTTTTTACGTTCAAGGTTGGCTTCAGGTAGCTTTTCCAACACCTTTGGAAACGAGACATTGTAAGATCTTTCAAACTTTTTGTTTACTACCTTCAAGACTTTCCTGGCCGCACACCGAGCACTTCTGTAACCGCTTACGTTGAAGCTAGCCTCCGATATTGAACTTTTGTTTGCGGCCTCAACTTTAGAATTCGCAGACTTGTTTTTACCCTTCAAACATTGCTCGCACTGTCTGAAGCTGTGCAAACGTTGTTCTGACTCAGGTAAAGACTTCCAGTTCTCGATTGAAAAATGTCCGGTATACCTTTGGCGTTTGGCCGAGGTCCACTTCTGTAGTTCCTGACTTGTAGCCCGATCTTCTGGAATCTCTTGATGTCAATTTGGAAGTTCCTTCCAAGAACGTCAAGGAAAACGGAATGTTTGTCTGCGAGAGATTTAACACTTCTATCGCCAAAGACGCTGTTTAAAATTACACGACCAAAACCACACGTAAACACAGGCCGGTAACATTGTTAAAAATGACGTAATAACTCAGACCGCGGGAAAATACCGTCGTCTGAGTGAATATAAACGTTAAGTTATTGATACAGATTGAGAAGCATTATTTCAACGCCTAACCGAAAGAATAGACCCATTGAGACTAAGAACCGACCAAAAATACTGTTGTCGTTCATTTTCTGAGAGCTCTCTGGTTGTCCATCGTCTCTGAGAGCAAGAATACAGGAAAACGCTGTCAAAGAAACCAGCTGCGTAAATTTTCCCAAATTTGCCACCGGTTCCGCCATTTTGTATCTAGGAGCAACGGCCTCTGATTGGATAATAGCGATTGGGGGTCATTTACCCCTGACGTCATGTGGTGTCGGCTTGCAAGGAGAAATGACTGGATTTTCCGGGGACGCGTATACAAGGTTTAAATGCTATTGCCTACGTCGAAATCGCATTATTGATAAAAAAAGTAGTTATTCTGTAAGTATTATAGCCTGCAGATAAATTTTATCCAAGGGTATTTTACCGCAGAATGATAATATTTCAGTAACAGCAATGTTTCAGTGAAAAAATAGAAAAAAAATCACTGTTTTTAATGTTTTGGCCCCCAAAAAATCACTATACCGTTACATAAAACAAAATACCCATGGACAGATTAATTCCGTTTTAAATAAGGTCTTATCTTGTAAAAAAATCAAGGCTAAAATCCCTGTATCCGCAAAGGCTGTCACTGGAGTCAAAGTAACTGTACTGCATATGGTTGTGCGTTAACTTTGGTACCTAGGTGATCTTTCATCAGGTAATCACAGATGTCATTGTACATTATGTTTGGCCAGTGCTGTATTCCATCTGCCTCGGGCACCCACACTTGGTCCCCAAACTTAAGTGGGTCGCCCAACCCTTCCAGCAGGTCACTGTACTCATTTTCTGCAAGGGCAGCTGCTGTGGGTTGTACGGGCGTGTCGTTCTCCCAGGCAGAGAACACTCTTGCCACCAAGATTTCCTTGGTACCTGACGCGGGCAAGCCCCTAACCCTTAGGAAATCTTGCAGTGCTTTTACACGCCACTTCCTCACAGCTTCTAACTTTTCCATTGCCCAGAGTCCTAGAAAACCACATAAAGAGACAGAGAAATGAATCGATAATCAGTTACAGTTGGATGTACTTTATTGAATTATTTCTTAAAAAACAATCCGATTCTAGTGAGAATAAATCAAACTGATGCGTTTATCTTTGACAAACATAACTTTCAGAGAGTTGTATCATAACGGAGCCCACATGAACGGAGCCGGAAGTGTATCACAGCGACACGGAACGAATACCATAACATCGTCGTTCGTGCAAAAATGACGGAAAACATACACGAAAGAGATCGGTAAACGCCAAAAGATACCATCGAAACAATGCAGGTCTAGGTTTTACGTTGATATGTTAGCCGGCAATCAGAATAGTTGTCGGTTGACATGTAAGTATGTCCTACTTAGTTGTGACAGGTGAAAATTTAGCACTCAGTAATCCGTGGCGGTTGGGGGATTTCATGAATTCGACATCAGCTGGCAAAAATCTGACTGACGCACGAAAAATACCTTTTTACATTACCTTCTGTTAACCAATATGAATGAAAATTCCAAACCCAAATTGGTTTCTGCATGTAAATATGTCCTACTTAGTTGTGACAGGTGAAACTTTAGCATTCAGTAATCTGTGGCGGTTGGGGGATTACATGAATTCGATGTCAGCTGGCAAAAATCTGACTGACGCACGAAAAATACCTTTTTACATTACCTTCTGTTAACCAATATGAATGAAAATTCCAAACCCAAATGGCTTTCTGCCGCCGAGGATTGTACCATTGGTGTAAATATAGATCCTACCTGCTGAACGTCTCTATGAATTCCTGTCAATCAATTAATACCTGTAAAATAATCATTCTGTCTTGTTCTTGGTAAAAGAAATCAATCATACCTGAACTGTGGTTTTAATTTTTCTAGCACACGATTTTTTCGGGGTTGCTGTTACAGATCGGATGGAACCCAGGCTACACTTGACAGTCCTCTTGCCAATTACTGTAATAATACGTAGTCTCTCGCTTCAGTTCGGCAAAGGTATGACAGTTTGTATACGTTGTTGCTGCCTGGTAACCATATGGCATACCTCATTGTATTTTCAATACAGTAAAGGGAGAAGAAGAAGAAAATGATCCTTCGTTTCAAAATGGTATAAGGCCAGACTGACTTGATTTTATACTAAAGCATCGGCAGATACATATACAAAGAAGTCATTCTTAGAAGTTACAGGTAAATTTTAAATGCTCAGATGTAAATGGCGCACAGGACATGCGTTAACGTTTGTGAATGGCCATGTGTTAACTGGATTTTGTTAATCAAAATTCCACACGCCATTGCAATAACCCTGTTTTGGCTACAAGGACTGCGCCTTTCAGACAGAGTGAACGCTATGACGTCTGAAAACGTCACCACGAATTCCTGCAAGTTAATTGCATACCTGCCTGTACGATATCCTGAGTTGTTATATAAGTGACGTGTGGCTTGGAATGTTTTTCTGGCACATGCAGGTTGGATTGACAGACCTCTGAGTAGTGCGCAGTCATTTGCTTTATTCTGGCTGCTGACTCCACCGCAGACGTCCCCGCTCACTGATTCTCCGTCCGGCTGACTTAAGCTTCTGTCCACATCCAAGTCAGCCATGTTTAACAACAGCTCTCTGGCATCGCCCGTTACCGGCAGGACATCGGCAAGAGAATTCAACAGGCAGATTCCCTGCATCCTGTGGCACCTGCAAAACAAGTCATCCTACAACCAAGCCGAACAAGCCTGCTCTGCGTACACGGACTTTGTTGAGTTTGGAACAGGACTTACCATCGCCTTTTGGCTGACAGGACTTCATATTATCATTTCTAACGCTGCCGTACTTTGGGGAATCATTAGAACACCAGAGCTCCGCAAACAGATCTACATGTTCATGGCAAACCTTGCCGTGGCAGACATGTTGGCAGGTATTGGACTCCTCGTACGATGTCAAGCTATAGCCCAAGTGGTAGGATTGAGCAGATTGTATTTCATACTGAATATTGCTACTTTCATAGTATATAGTCAGACAATGTCTGCATCAGCACTATGCCTATTGTCGTTAAGCTCCTATGTTGCAATAAGACATCCCATATTCTTCCACACCCATGCTCACAGTGCCAAACGTGACGCAGGTGTGGCGATTGTTACTTCGTGGCTTATTCTGACCCTGTTTGGTTTCACGCCTAGTATGGGATGGAACTGTCTAGACATGCCAGATTTAAAGTGTTTGGACATTTTTCCTTTAGCGATCGTTGCTGTTGAATTCATTACAATCTTGTTGCTAATCTGTGTTATGCTGTTCACGAATATAAGTGTGTATATAGCCATCAAAGAACGGCAAAAGAGAAGACTTGGGCAGCCAGGGGGGCACAACGATCACAACGCGTTGCAAGATCAGCCTAACGATGCAGCAGAAAGAAAATACCAAAGAAGCGTGCACAAGGCCAGGACTGTTATGATTCAGGTAGTAGCGGCCTTTATCTTCTGGCTGTTACCCATTATACTCATCCCAGCCTGCATTAAGGCTGGGGAGAAGTGCGGATTATCATTGTTGTGGCCATTGCTGATTGCGTTTAACTCGGCGATCAATCCAGTCGCAAGCATCATCCGCACACCGGACTTACGACAGAGCCTCCGTCGAGACATTACAACGATCTACCAGGCACTATTCACAATGATACGCGGAAACCGCGTGAACCCACAGGATGAACAAATTCCCCTAAATCAGCGGAGTGGGACCGGGGCGGCTTCTAGGAGCGAACAGAACATGCCAACAGGGCAGCCCGCTACAGGACTTAACGTGACTCCGTTTAACCAGGGTAGGGCAAACGGTCTTGTCATCATAGAAATTGACTGAGAGAAACCTATATAGGAATTCCATCCTTTGCATGATGAAATGCTGCTGTGCAAAACAGTGGCAATCACATGGTCATTTCTAAGATCTAATAACCATTGTGTTGAAATGGAGTTGTTCCGGATTTTGATTCAACAGAATGTAAATATGTTATGACTATACTGTCAGTTTAGCACAATGTCAGTAGATGAAAATGTACCTACACATGATCTAATAACCATTGAGGTAAAATGGAGTTGTTCCGGAGTTTGATTCAACAGAATGTAAATAATGTACAGAATGTTATGACTATACTGTAAGTTTCACACAATGTCAGTAGATGAAAATCTAGCTACATATATGGTTTGAGGTTTAGACCCTGTTCACAGTGAAAAAATGGATCTGGATTGACTGCCGATCCCGATCAGAAATTCATCAATCCCGATCGACCTGCGCGTTCACACTGCTTTTTGCTGATCCGGATTGCCAAGGCATCACGCTCAGAAATGGATTGAGGTGTCACGAGCCTGCCATCTTGAACATGCCATAGCCGCTGCAACTCCGACGTAAATTTTGCAAGAAAAGAACTCAGAATGTTTGTACAGCCTGGAATCTTAGCGGAAATAAAGAGAACACCTCTTTGAACATGTTTGGGTGGCCAGGGTTTAGCTCCCGTTGCGTGAAGGCCGATATTTTTCGGGCTGTAACACTCGATTCCACTGGCTCGCCATTCCACTTGAGTGTAACGTTGGGGCAGGGAGGTTGGGGTAAACATCTTTCTGCATATTTTCTATTCATAATTTTGATTGGCAATGTATCCATAGCATTACACGACGTCCTTGTCACTGCATATTATAAGACCCGATCGGTAGTGGTAGTATTTGTGGTCAGTCTCACACTAGCGAACCCCGAACCCAATCCACTTTACGTTCACACTCAAGTTTACGCCCGATCCCGATCCGCTGCAAGTGTCTTGAACTACCTCCTCGAGGTGGATTACGCTTGGATCGGGATCGGAGAAAATCAATCCCGATTGGAGCGTTCACACTGCGAAAACCGATCCGGATTGACTTCATTTGTATAATTTTGATCCCGATCGGCGGCCGATCCGGATCGACAAGTTTCACTGTGAACGGGGTGTTAGTGTTTGTGCTCCTATTTCCTAAGTAATAAAGACGATAAAAAGCATGTTGAATTGTCTCAATAGTGTTCTTGATGTATGTCTGCCATTACCATAATGTAGGTCAACGTTTACCCATTTTGGCGCCCATCTTTTTTTGAATAGGTTTAGTATGAGATGGTTTTCTGTAGATCTTTATGTCCAACGAACCACGCTATCACCGTTTGTAACTGCGTGAAGAAACTCACAACAGCAGTGGTTTATCATAAACAGCTGACAATGAAGTGAGGTAAAGACGATAATTTAATTTCAATTTGACGAAATTTACCATTAGATACTGTTTCTTATTTGCAATTTTTACGGGTAGTCCAAAACAGGTCAAAATACGGTCTTGGAACCCAATACTTTTTTCAGTGAACGGCCCTAGCAAGAAAAGGGAAAGGTAAAGAATGTCGTAGTAACAGACCGCGTAGCAGTTAGCATAACTACCGTACCCCTGGACGGCTCATCAGCTTGTCTGAGGGGCGTGGCAGTTACCATGATTACCGTACCCCTGAAACAGCTCATCAGCTGGTCTGAGGGGCGTGGCAGTTACCATGATTACCGTATCCCTGAAACGGCTCATCAGCTGGTCTGAGGGGCGTGGCAGTTACCATGATTACCGTACCCCTGAAACAGCTCATCAGATGGTCTGAGGGGCGTGGCAGTTACCATGATTACCGTATCCCTGAAACGGCTCATCAGCTGGTCTGAGGGGCGTGGCAGTTACCATGATTACCGTACCCCTGAAACAGCTCATCAGCTGGTCTGAGGGGCGTGGCAGTTACCATGATTACCGTATCCCTGAAACAGCTCATCAGCTGGTCTGAGGGGCGTGGCAGTTACCAGGATTACCGTATCCCTGGACGGCTCATCAGCTGGTCTGAGGAGCGTGGCTTGGATAGCATGTTTTCTTCCTCGTTTTGTACGCTCTTCATCAGTGCATTGTGCATTTACAGACGCCCAGTACATCAGTTTATCTTCACTCGCCTCGATGAAGTTATTGTAAAATGTCATCAGTGCCTCATAGCTGAAAAAGCCAGTCCAAAACCTTATATCGTCATCAGAACCTTCAAATCTCCTGAGACCAAACTGATCTAATGCTCTTACTTCAACTACTGTGTCCAGCTGTTCTTTAACGCCACGAAGTAGTTGGATAGTCACCCTTAATAGTTCACGAAGTTTTTCGACATCTTCCTCTGATCCCATTGCTTTACTGATCGCATCTAAAATAGATGTCAGTTCATTATGAGGTAAGTTCCCTCGTAATACGGTTTGCTCGGCAGTGGTTCCATCTGGAAAAAAGCCATTTCTTTAACTTAGGTGCCTAATTTGTGTCTCTAGTCTATTAAATTAACGAAGACCGGAAACTAAAAAAGATTGACCAACCTCAATTTTAAACTTTTGTGCCGAGTTTATACGCATTGAACATAATCTCTACTGGAAAGTAAAGTTAATACTTGTTGAGCTGTATCCGAAGATAACGGTCGATCATAGCAGATCATTGTAACGTTACGTTACGGAAACAACAAAGTAGCAGACGCAAATGTTTTACTCTCTTAACTTGACCTCTCCGCGTAAACTTTTTTCATTGATTGGAATAGGTTCGTACTTACTTTTCCGGTTGACATCTTCACACGAAGGCACTAGGCGCAGCAAAAATTTAAGACAACACACCTTGAAATGATCTTTATTCTTTAACTGACCGTTCTAGAACGTTCTTTAGAACAGGTGTTCGTACCTGTCAGGCCGGAACACCTGCGTCGCGGCGCGTTGCGTCATTCTTAAGGCTAACGTTACACAAACACACATCGCGCTACGCAGCTTTTTAGAGTTTTTTTTTTCATCTCTGTTCTTTATTGAGTATCGAATACATGTGTACATAGATGATAAACAGTTACATCACATTCATCAATTTCTGTCTGTTTGAACAAATCTTTCACTTTATTATTCTGCCAAATTGTCTGAAAAAAAGGCTTTTTAGAGTTTTAGCGAACGAGGAGGACGATTACGAAGTATGTATTCAGTATATTGTTTTGACGAATTAAGTTTTATGCATAAATCCTTAGCTAAATCGATCATTTAAAGTTATTATAGTGCGCACTAAACGCAAGCAACATAAACGTATGTAACGAAACATGCAATTCAGCCTCCAGGCTACGAAAGCCAGTCACCAAACAGCCCCGTCACCACCGGCGTCACCACCATTCAGTCATCATCCTGTAGAAAGGAAATCGGGAAAACGATTAGATTGCAATTGGTCCTGTAGAGTGGTACGTAAAAAACAACAATTGTGTCCATATATGAACCATGAATGAATGCTTGCACGAACCTCTGTTGTGAAATCCAGCATCCACAGCGGCTGCTTTGACACACGGCGGGGTCGGAATGTGTCTGGACCGACGCTCTGAGAAAACAAAGTATGGTTCATAAATTACATGTCAAGGCAAAATTTGGTCATATGTATGTTCATTGCATTGATAAATAGCCGTTAAACAATATACACGCGACTGGTTGATTATAACGTTAAGTAAAATATTTAGCGTCCATGAATCTAGACAAAAATATCCATGCAATTCCTTACCGACAATGGTGTTCCAGCGGTTGGTTTTGCCGCTGCTGTTTCTTTTCCCGCTGCTGTTTCTTTTCCCGCTGCTGTTTCTTTTCCGGAATTCCCGCTGCCGTTTCTTTTCCCGCTGCTGTTTCTTTTCCGGAATTCCCGCTGCTGTTTCTTTTCCCGCTGCTGTTTCTTTTGTAGTCTTTCTTTTCGCTTCTTTTTCATTTCTTCAATCTTCTTCCGCTTTTTCTCTTCGCTATCTTCTTTTTTCTTCATCTTTTCTCTTGCCTCCCGTTCCTTTTTCTCATCTGGTTCCTTTCTCAGACCCTCCACATACGCCTCGTCAAACACGATGGCTCTTGGTTTGACCCTCTTTAGTCTCCGCTGACTGGTGTCTTGGATGGGGGTGAGGAGGTCGGCGACATACAGGCCTTTACGAAAGGGTTTGCATGTGACGATGCTTCTTTGTCGTCGACGCCCTCTCTTGCTTCCTCGCCATCCTGGGACTCATGGCTGTTGAGGGTCAGCCAGCGGTTATCAACCTTCGATTCGTCAACCGGCCAGACACCAATTTTAGCGAAACCGGTTTTGACAACAGCCATTGTCAAGCTTCTTTCCCTTACCACTCTGTAGACTCTGGGGAATACGGATTTGGTCAGGAAAAAGTTTGGCCTAACCAGTCTCATTTCATTGACCACGTTCTCGAACCCGCTCTTCATCCGGTTAAAAGGTCCACCTGGGGCATCCAGCGGTTGTAAGATGTGGCTGGTGTGTGGTGGTAGCCCCATCAGTATGATATCGTTATTTATATCATACCCGCTGTCGCGCCAAATCCTTGAGCTGCCAATTCCCTGAGAGGTCACGTACTGAGGCTGCGCACTACAGTGGAATTATAGCAATCATTTGGCAGCGGAAATTACTATAGCAACAGCTCTTATAGAAACTAGCAGATGTTTTGTTAGTAGCCGATTCGACAATAATGTAAATAAAATAACCTATTTTTTAAACGTTTCTTCCCCAAACTTTAACTGACTATTCCACCATTGAATACTACATAAATTCAGATATTTAATGAAAACCTTTCAAATGAGCCATTTGCCGTCGAGGATTTTATTGAATTGAAAATTAGGACACTCCATACAGACCCTTTAGAAATCTTATGTTAATGATATGCAGCGGTAAATTATGGCAGTCTCTGGACCTGTATGGGCAAACACCGCAGCAGCAACCCAGTCGTAGGTTCGCAATATTAGCTTAATGCCAGCAGAGACGGGCACAAGAGGTAAAAAGGACATATGTTTATGTCATAATTCTCTAGCAGAGCGTGTCAAAATGAGCAAATCAGGGCCACTGTCAGACCAGATCGACACTTCTGGTCACACCAGCAAATATGGCGGAAGGGGCGGAGTCAGCGCCCTCCCGAGTCCAGTACAAGGTACCTACACTATAATAATGAAGGAAAACATATTGTTTTTACTACGTTTCTTCTTCTTCTGTTCCAAACACTAACCTCTGGCCTGGCCAATGGCCTGATTTGTTGATGTCTGTCACCATGGTATCTGGTGTTGGGTTACATAATGTTGCAATTTCATAGTCTGCTCTACTTCTGTCACCATATACTCGTAGTGCGTGTATGTGATTGTGTTTGAGTAAAAATTAACATGGCAGATCATGTCCGAAGGTAAACATTATGCATTTGCTTTGCAAATGTTACTTTTCTAGTTATTCCTATATATAATATGAATGAATGATATGATGTCAATGTTGTAGCCTACATCACGGTTTGATGGAATGATCATTATTTGTAAAAAAAATTACTAAGGTTTTATAAGGGAAGTGATTGGATGAGTGCACAATGAAACTACGTAATGTATGATTTTCTCCGATATGCAGATTGATAACCGTTAACGTTACGGTCATTTTTTTAATGTCGTAATACAAGTTACAAATATCTGCGGTTTTATCTAATCTACCTAGGCTTCTGTGGAAGATGTAAAAACCTTTCGGCAAACCGGTAAACCGCCAGATTTCGGTGACTTGACGGTGAAGACCAGGAAGTCTAGAGTACATACGCTGCAAACGTTTGCCAAGAAGTTTGTCTATGAAAGTAAGTGCTCAACCAATAACATAAAAATTGCAAATTGTTATGTAAACCTATTTATTTATTGGTTTGCCTGCATGTAAGCCTATAAGTCGAATTACATGTAAGTGTATGTATGTTCACAGACTAATGTGGCTGGTTGGTAAAAGATGATTTTTAAACCTGATAAAAATGATTTAATCCAACCCCGTTAAGTATGATTAAAACAAACAGCTCCTTGAACCTATAACCAGCTCAACAATTGTAATTTTTTTTTTCAGACAATACTCTGTACTCCAAACCAAACAGACGTGTGTTGTTCAACAGAGCAAAGGTATGTTTTGAATTATTAGACATAACTTTATTAGATGTCAACTATGCAAGGAACATTGAAACATGCATACCAGGGGTATATAAAGTTTTGACTTTAAGGTCATATTGAAGGGTGCCTGAGGACTTTTTGGAAATACTAGTATAGAAAAAAAACTCTATCTGACATGGTAGACTTTTTGGTCTATTTTTATAATCTATAACATATTTTTTGCCAGGGCCACATTTTGACCGCGAAATTGAACGACAAAGTTCGCAATTTTTACGCGCCATCTACCATCCGGGCTCCCATATATGGAGTGCTCTTCCAAATATGGAGTGCTCTTCCAAATAATGTGCACACACCCCGGCCCCTCTGAAGCGAAAGCACGAGTCCGCTGGGCCACTTGAAGCAAGGAAATTATGTGAACTGTCACAGTGTGTGTGAGCTTCACTTTGCCATTGGGAAAGGAAAAGACAATTTTCCTGATACTTAGAGCGTTTGTAAATACAGTACATCATGTTATTTGTAGACCGCTAAGTAACCAAGTAACTGCAAAGAATTTACGAAAACCTGCCATGCCGGCTAATCAAGTCGGAACACAATTTTCAACTGGAAATATACCACAGAAATCACCAAGAAAAAGGCATGGATTACGCCAACAACTTCCTATAAAAAAACATTTGACTGCCAAAAGGAACGTTTGAGTTTGTTTCGACTGCAAAATGTTTGTAAATATACTACCGGTAGTAACTGTTATATGCAGTTGTAGGAAGAAGATACTAGTACTTGAACAAACATGACACAAGAACTGATTTCCAATCTGCAACGTTCTTTTTTTATTCAAAGAAATACAATACAAACAAACTTCAAGCTATCTTAGAGCGGAATGCATACACAATCTTACTGTAACGACGAACATATCTTTACGGTTTACAGCGGTGGCAGCTTATAACGGATCGTCCATATTTGCAGATAAAACTCCGTACGTAAAAAAAAATCATGTACTGTAAGCACACGTCTACTAGGACAGCATTCAACAGAAATTCACATAATCAACAAAATTATATTCGCTAGTAATCTCATACCACGTACGGGCAGGCTTTTCTCCAGGGCTATCTACTCCGGTAACTTTTCAGTCTTTTTTCCGAGTATGTTGCTGTTTTTCCGTAACATAACAAAGAACTTCGGGGGTAGGCATCAAAAACAAATCCGTAACTCCAGAAAACGCGGACGGTTTTTCTCCAGAAAGGTCTCAGAATAGTCCATGAAAGTCCACCTGCAAAACTACGTAGGGTATAGCCGTTTAAAAGATTGTCTAGCGGCCCAAATGTTGCCGCAAACCGCACAGCGTCCTTCGCGGCATCCACGTCGTCGTCCGCCATTTTGGTTTGGTCACGTGACTCCCCCACGCTTAAAGAATGGGGATGCTTGGGCTGTTCTTTTTACTGGACTTATCCCCGGCCTGTTTTCTAAATCGCGGCTCAGTATGGTAAATACAGCGTGCTGAAGGGTCAATGACCCGCATTTTACCGGAAGTCATCGGGGCCTTTGGAATGCAGACCAGAACCTGGCGATTTCGGCTCTTTTTGGCTCCAAAATGGACATTTATGTAACCCATACAGCATATACAGCATTTTTAGATCAAAACTGTGGCAAAACTGCTAATGAAAAGGGACAAAAAATTGTTTTCTTTTAAACATAAGCTTCTAAACTAAAAACGTACGTCAGGCCGACACGCTGCGCCGCTTTATGTGCTGGGGAGGGCCGCTGGCGTATGGCACTGTTAAAATTTACGAAAAAAATTCATTAAAAATCAACATTTAAAGATAGAAAAAAATCCTGACGTACGTTTTTTGCTATCACTACAGTGCGCCTCTCTACAAAATATGGTCAATGAAAACCAAAGCACTGGCCAGGAAAATTGATTTTTCTAAAAATGGGGCGTGGCTCATAACTCCAGATTACGTCATCGTGACGTCATAAAAATTTGCATAAATTATTGTCTTGCAATAAGGTACTTATATGAAAAAATTCAATGACCAAAAGTAATTCTAACTAGTATTTTTAAGATGTCCCCAAAGTCCTCAGGCACCATTAAACACTACCTTAATTTACGACACGATATCCTGTTTATTTTAGACAGCAAGCCACCTGTAAAGAGATCGCTCACATATTGGTCGAGGCAAGGATATTTGGTCGAGGCTAGCAAAGGTGTGATCCGATTTGTAAGGGGGCTCCTTGCACTCGACAGCCTGAAAAAGCAAGTGCAAGGAGCCCCTTACAAATCGAAAGACACCCAGGCTAGGCCAAAGCGGGACACAGATACTTTGTTATTGATTGTAGTTTATAATAGTAATGAAAGAAATTATCTTTTATATATATATATTACAAGTACGTTTCCATACTTCCAATACTTGCCTAATATTGACAAATTTATCTTTCTTATGCGCTTTGATGATCCTGTATTATACAAACCCATTTCAAATTATATTTTTAACATCACAAAGAAACGAGAAGAAGCCGAACCTCTGTATTAGAGTAGATTTAGAGCTGTTAGTACAACAAACATGTATATTACCTATTTTATCTGTTCACCTGTACTTAGCCCGGTAGGGCATGAAATGAATGTACAATAAAGGTTATTATTATTATTATTTCAGAAGCCGTCAGCTGGGCCTCAGTAATAAAATCTTCAAAAGGTTGCTTTGTAGGCAAAACATGCGTGCTGGGCAAACTGACGTCTCACACAAATCTCACACTGGAAACATCACTTGCCAGTGACATTGTTTATTCAAGTCAAATCTTTAAGTTTTAGCATGGAGTTAAAATCAAAGTTAGTGGCCATGTGGCCATCATTTCTTCTTCAGCCCAAAATGCTAATCCAGATTTTTTTCTACATTATTTTTTCAGAGTGAGAGGGTGTTAGGTGATATCCACGGGAGTGGAACAAATGGCAGCCATATGGGCGAACTCAAACTACCATTTCGTCACGATTCTATTGGCATGGTATCACTGAAGATGTGAAACACTGGGTACGTGTGACGTGTTACTAGAAATGCATTCAATCGTCGGATTTATTAATTCCCTAAGTAAGACGTGCTGCATACATGAGTATGACATAGGCCCAGTTTAGACGAAGAATTTCGCGACAGCGGCGATATTTCCCGCTGTCGGGACGCCGCTGTCGCGACGTCTTTATACACACAAATGTCTTCGCATCGAACATCCGAATGTTCTAACGCGCGAAATCCAAAATGGCGGGGGAGCCGCCAATGTTTTTCCTCGCCGTGTTTCAGATGTTTTTCTTTATGTTAGTCACTCGCGTCTTGTCGAGGCATGTCCAATATGAGGCGACGAGCAAGGGGTGCACGCAGGAGACGCGGTTGAGATACCGGGAGATGTTGCTGACACGGCGCGCAGCAAGAATACACCCTGCTTACCTCCCCGCTGCCATTGCTTTGGCAAAAGGTGGTGATCCTGTCCACCGGAGGATCTGGCGATACGTAAGGAAACCCGCGACCTTTTGGCAGAAATTTGTACAAGGCACACTGTGCGATTTCAAAACAGCATACTGGGTTCACGTACTTACCTTTGGATTACGCATTTAAGAAAATGTTGGAAATGAAAGGCATATACATTCCTCCTCGAGACAGGATCTTCATCTTCCCCAAGTGCTGTTCTTGCATGGCCAACATAGCGTCTGTGATCTCCCTTTTCCCTTTGCTCTTGAAGAAACGTTTTGTTTCGAGAAGGCAGGTTACAGACAATATTTTCTAGAAGATTAGTAGGTAACGAAGTATAAAATGCAATATGATAAACTAGACTAATAATAGATAGATAGTGACTGATGGTCTCCAGGTCACCGCAAAGACAAATTGATTTGAAAACAACAAGGTTCTAGGAACTCATTCGGAAACACCTGGCGGTAGTGACGTAGTGATCAGTTGGTGACGTACGTAGAAAGAAGGTACTAAGAAGATAAGAATTAGGGTTCTATATACGTTAGACATTTGAACTTGAGAAGTTGCATTGTCTTGAAGAATGATTTCTTGAGAACGATGTTAGGGGACATATTTCTCGGTATCTGTGACCTGGGCGTTGTCAGGCGTCATAAAAACGTAGATTCCTAGTGGAACGCCTAATGCGTCAGCAATCATCAAGTGGTTTTCCCAGGGGAAGACAAGTTTGAAACTGTATCGACTAACCTGGAGGTTTTGTTCCCCAACGCGTTTCACAATGATGCGACCCTGTTTACGGAGCTACAGGAGCAGTGTTTGAAGTCAGGAAAACCATGGAGAGGAACACTCATTTCAAGCAAGGAGAAGTGCCGTATTTGCGGAGGAAGATTAGAAGTGGTGGATGCGGAGTTGTTTGGCTCTTCCGTTGTTGAGTCGTCAACCATCCAACTTTGGACACCCGCCACCCTACCCCGCCCTGTGTCCAAAGTTAGATGACGTCACGTCACAAAATCGCCGTCCAGCACATGGTTACCACCCTGCAGCCGCCGTTACTGATATGCATGTGGGTCAAAGTTGACACGGCGGGTCTATGATGCCGGCCGGGGGGAATGGTGCAGCTTCCTTGTGAGAATCGGTGACGACAATGTTGAATCTAGCTATGTTAAAGTGACAACTATAAATGCTTTATTCTTATCTAAGTAGAATGTATTGATTCTTGAGTTAAAGTCTGTTGCTAATTTGCTTCACCCATGCAAAGGCTATTGGTGTCGTCGTCATACTTCTCTCAAGGTTCAAGGGGCCTGAGTGCAAAACTGGGAAACAACACGGCTAACTACGATGTTGGTGTTCATGTAATTAAATGAAGTGCCATCTTTTGTTATAGAATTGCAGGTTTTCTTTTATAGGATATCAACTATTTCCGTAAATTTGGTAGTCTATATTTTACATTCCCGTCTGGCGTCTCCTAATTTGATAGTGGTATCGTCGATAGACCGTTATCTCTGGATGTCTCCACTTCAAGAACAGCGGGCGTTAAGACGTGGAGGCATCATAGTGGGTTCTATAGGTTGCCACATCTACTAAAAAGTTGCTACTGGCTATTGTTTTTGTTGTTCATTGTTGAACTATCTAACTAAAAGAAAGTTATTTAAGATGAATATGTAACATATGGCATAGACATCCAACTTGGTAATGGTTTAGTCCAGCTACGTTTCCCGCCACTATCAAGTCGTGACAGAAACGCCACATCTGCTTAGTCAAGGACGCAGACGTTGACATCAGAATGGTAAGTACCTTTATTTGCTCACTTTAAAAGGAAAAAAATAGAAATGAAAGAATCTGCCACGTGGAAATACAACAATATTAGCTTAGGTCTTTTTACAATCGCGCAATGACATCTCTCTCAACAACCCCCTTGCTCTCAAGAACGGGATCAGTTTTCATAACCCAAACCATGTCATCTACTCAATATAGCATTCGAATTTCAATTGATTTACAGAAAGAAACCATCACACTCCAAACTTTCCATTACGGCGTTGGAGCCAGCCAGTTACTTGGATCTCCCCAGGCACAGTTGAAGATGGAGAGGTGGCACCGGCCTGGAGCCCCCTTCGCTGGTGTCATGACCTACGCCAACATTGACGACAAGTGGGTACGCGTCGGGTGGGTGCAAGAGAAGGACAAAAAAAGGGTCCTGGATGGGTGCGGCGGCAGGCCGGAGCGGCTCCACGTCACACTCTTTGACCTGCTTTACGCATAACTTTTTCAAGTCGACTAGAGATCAAGACGACTTGAGCTAGTCGACTTGAGCGAAAATTTCCCTGTGTAAAGAGAAATAATTCAACTCAAGTCGTCTTTTAATAAAGACGATTTGAGCGATGGTTCCCAGCATCCCTTGCGCGGTGCCGGTAAGTTGTCTGTTACGTCACGCGGTTCTAAACTTTCGGCCAATCAGCGAGCTTCGCGCAACAATCAAGAGATCGGACGTTAAGCGTCACAACTAACAAAGTTCCATTCCGAACTACGACGCAGGAACGAACGGACCTAGCTCTAATTCCCTCGCGATTCATAACGGAATTTTTTTTATAATCGTCGAACGAGAGTCAGAGAGTACTTTTTCAGAATGCCATCCGTACTGTCAAAGGAATTGGACATCGAAAATGTGCGGTACCTGCTGGGAAACGTATACCAGCCCGTAAGTACTTATGTGTTTGTTGCCTGTCACGTGTAGCTTCGCTTTCCGATCGAGAAATGCCATTGTGTAATTAGAAGTCTCTGTATCCACAATCAAGGTCCTTCCGTCAAAATGTAGACGCATTGAAACATGCAACAGTAGATCACAGTACTGAAACATGCAATCGTAGATGAAACTGTTCGTTGCAGTAGAACTATGCATTGCTTGTTTCACTCTATAAACCCTGTCGTTTGCCGATTTGCCGACTTTCGGTTCACTTGCTGGCTTAATTAAGGGTTCAGAGCTGTTCTAGAACGTCCTGGGTTGTGCGCATCACTCCAAATTAGAACCACTAGGTGCTAATAGGCGCACATCATGAAGTTATTATATGATTTAATGTCGTATAAAACATGTATTTCTGGTTTGTATCACAATGTAAGACAAAGAATGGCGTGTTGACATTTGATTTTGGAAAATGTAGGACATTACGTCTTCCATGGTTTATATATGATTACAAAAGAGAAGTCCAACCCTTCAGACATAGTTTTGGACGTAGCTATAGTTTTAGACAACTACATATTTTTCATTATGTAGATTTTGAAGTTATTTTATACCCTGTTTAAATGTTGTAATCAGCAATTAGCCTTCGGGCAGGATGATGTGCAATAAACTTCGCATTACAAAACGCCGATAATTATGATTAGATTTGATGCTGAAGTGGTTGTATTTACTCTTCACAGGCAGGGAGAAAATGCCGCACTTGCAAAAAAAATCTGAACATCTACGACGTAAGTGTGACTCCTATTAGTCCTGCAGAACTGTTTATGTTCTGCAGGACATGTTTATGTTACGACAATGACACTGAGATCGTCACAGGACGAAAAGGAGGGAGTACGTATCGGTCATGATCTAGTTTTAGCAAAAGATGAAGCATTTGCATTGAATAGCCAGTCATCATAAATACGTAAACAGATCGGGAACATAAATATATAGAGAGAGTGAGATAGATAGATAGATAGATGGATAGATAGATAGATATTTTTCTTGGTCTTTATAATGGCATTGTTTACTTTAAACCTATTTACTGATGTTCGACGAACTGAGAGTCAGGCACCTCCATCCAGGACGAGGTGGACAGATTCACGGCTTTGACTGGTCTTGTTTAATATACTCCTTTTCGTATAAATGCAAGTTTCAAGTCACCCTTTATTTGTGTTGTTCCCGTTAAATGAACAAAATACATTTCTACCCTGTCTTATGTGTGTTTCTTTTTACAGGCCATGGATATCCCTGGAGATCAGGGGTCGCAAACTGTGTATAGGAAAATGAGGAAAGTGGAGAAGTGGCGGCCCCAGATCAGCGTGGGCGGGTAGCACACACTCGTCCTGGTAGAGCCTCCTGTATCCATGTGGCTTGAAAAAAAAATGCTTGAAGTGAACAATTTGTGACTTTTTAATGTGTGAAAATACATTCAGACATAACGTAGAGTAAGTCGCTATGAGCGAAGTATCAACAACAAAAAAAATGAATACATACATTGTATCGGTACCGGTATCCCTGGACGTTGCCATATGTATTCATTGCATGTAACGTTACTTGTAACATACAAATAATGGAAATTCACAAAGCAACTACATTGAAAGTCACATTTTTCAATAGACACGACACAATCCAAAAACGCATCGAAATGATCTTAAGGTAAGGTAATGTTGCTACATTTCTCACATCCGTCTAACGCCTTGTGGCCAGCGCGAATATCCAATTACAACGAACCGCGCCCAAACTCTTGCGTTTTCTATTAGTTGCTAGGAAAGTTGCTCTATTTGCCATGCATTACAGCGATTGAGACATAGACATGTAAAGTACTATTATGATAATATTATAATGAGCAGGTATGTAAGTCTATTTTCTAAGTCATCATTTGTGCCAAAAAAAAAAAACGCCGGGGGCAAAATTATATCCTAAGGTTTGCGTGAACGTTGGTTAGTTATACAGGCCAAATTACAGCCATTTTTAACGGAAAGGCAAATGCCATAGAATCACGCAAAGGACAAGACGATTCAGATAAAGGGAACAAACAGTTCAAGACAGAGAAAATACACGTAAAAAGAAAGAAATTTCTGATGAAAAGTATGTGAAATTCATCTGCATGTGAGACTATCTAGGTGACAGCGCTGTATGAGATCGTGGAAGGCCAAAGATAGTACGGTGGGGGGTAGTACGATGGTACGAAATCGACACTGTTCAATATAACAAAGTGGACACTCACAATAACATTTCATCCCACTATCTGCAATATGAAATATAAAGCATGAATTGATAGAGTAATATAAAGACTGGAGTAAGCGATATACATGATAGATCCCATTTTGTATCCCAAAACAACGAGCAAAGACGACAGAATCATTCATAACATACCCACCCCACATTATGTGCCAGCTTAACTGGTAATGAATTCCATCGACAGACGAAGTGCTCTTGTTAAATCAATCCGCATTTTAATCAACATAATCTAGCCAGCGTGTAAAGTCAAAATAAAATCGAAAATCTGAGCCTACCGATACTCAGCGTAGAAAAGAAAAGTTTTTTAGTGCAAAATTTGCTTGTACTAAAATTACATAAATCGTTGATCGTTGAGTACTATTTTCTGTGGGCGCATGGAAACTGTCTGCAGGTGGTAGTGATCAACACCACAGCCACGGCCAGCGTCGCGCGGCTTGTAGGCGTATCTGGTTACAATAAAGCGCGCCAAAAAAACGACGTTTTCTATTGCCTGCTCATGAACGTATCTAACCTCGTTGAGAAAACGCATCCATTTTCTTTGGAAGTTTGTGATAGTGCAGCTCTGAGTTGTGGGTATTATTTTGTGCTGCAATGGGTCCTGACATGCCGTCATTTTGTCCTAATTGTGTTTCGTAGCCACGTCTGCAACTGTTTTCTTTTGTGTGAGCATAGTATGGTATCCGGGACCTGAGACCAGGACCTAAATAGACGTTTGCAAATTACAAATGCATACAATAAGGGCAAGAGGTATTCTATTGCAAATGTAAAGGAAGGGCCTACCTCCTGACAAACTGCAGGCCTTCATGAAAAATTAACAACATTCCACAAGAGTGTGGGGGTGTTCTGTTTCGACTGGTACAATAAGGAAGACTCACTGTTTGTGTGGAAGTCTTAGCCATTCCAATATGGATGAAATCGCTATTCTTGGATAGTACAAGGCAATTTTGAGTTGATAATCAGTCAATGTGTAGAAATATCCTAGTGTCTGATTCAGGATCAATCCTTTCAAGCAATCCTCTCTCCTCTGATACTTCACCATTCTTGACAACAAACGCATTGTTGTGTGGAAAATAACCACAGACATTAACTTTCTTAGTTTCTTCCTTTGCATACTATTGTGCAATCTTCAAGAAGAAATGTTACCAGGTACGTCACCAAAGAGTTTCTGTGTGTACCTGATACGTCACCAAAGAGTTTCTATTTTGTCGAAAAACATCTTGCTTATTCCTGGGCATCTCCCCATCATAGGTAGAACAGAGCATCGCACCAGCAGAAACTTGACTATGCTAATGCGTTGGGGATGCACTCCTTGCAAGACTATAGCCATCTGGCACACTATCCTATCCTATCCTATTACATTATTCCTTGTCCTCTTGAAATATGCGTTTCACAATCTAGCTTCTCCACTTGAAAGTACGAGGAATTCCTTAATGCGGCCTATGACCCTCTCAACATGAATACGTGCATCGGCTACTTGCTTTGTTTGAATGGTGACAATGTGCTTAAATGACAGTTGTGATTTCCCCTTACGGAGGAACGGTGGGATCACAAGCACAAATTTACTCCCTTCTCAGCGAACAAATTAGTAAATATTAGACCCCCTGTCAGACATACAGATATCCTTTGCTGCAAACTTATCTACAATTGCTGACCTTTCTACCAATTTCTTGTCAGACATTGACCTACTGATTCACTGATTCTGACACAAAAGACACTGTGTACATGCCAACAACTTTGTAGGAACACTTTATATGTACTGTATATCTGTGAATTTGTTCAGTGCTTGCTATCTTTATTAATTGAACAAGTATAACAAGTGAGCAAAAGTTCATTAAGTGGGGATGGGGTTTTGTGCGCGTGAAAAATTTGCGCGCGCGTGAAAAATCTGCGCGTGAAAATATGCAAATTAGGCAATTCCCAGGGGGTCTTGGACATTTTTGGGAATCTTAATTTTATCTTTATCTTCCACGCGCAAATTTTAACCTTTTTTGCGCGTGAAAACTTCACATTTGAACAAGTCCCATGGGATTTGCACATCCATCCTTAATTTCATCTTTTCTCAAGCATATTCTTCCACGCGCAAATTTTAAACTTTTTTGCGCGTGAAAACTTCACGCTTTTGAACAAGTTTCTCAAGCATATTCTTCCACGCGCAAATTTTAACCTTTTTTGCGCGTGAAAACTTTACATTTGATCAAGTCCCTTGGGATTTGCACTTCATCTTTTCTCAAGCATATTTGTCCATTCTATATGGAATGTCTGCATGTGAAGCATCTGCATGTGAAAAAATATATATAGCTTATTCTCACTCATTAAAAAGTATGCAGAAAGTACAACACAATACACAAAGAACTCTTTTTGTGTAATTTATTGCCCTTTATTCATCTTAATGTAACATTTTGTCCTTTCCTTAGCTGATGAGGACAAATACAGTAAACAGAGAAGACATCCATGTCAACATGTTAACATCAATGTTACTTTGAAACACTTGAAGTGTAGTGAAGTCTTTAAATCATTCTGTCAATGTACAAACCTCTTGTAGACTGACTACTTTCACCAATAACTCAAGCTCAGCTGAGCTTGTAATGTGAATGTCCTTCACTTAATCAAGTTATAGTCTTACATATAGTAAAAATATTGCTATTTCTCATGATTCATCAAGTCATATCAAGTCATTTCTACTGTAATCAGCTATTGGATATACTCTATACTAAGTTGAAATCACTATAGTAACGGTCCGTAAGTTCAAATAATATGCAATTATTTACAGCCTGCAGAGTACACAAAAGTATGTTCAGTTTTAATAGTGATAAAATAGCTTACAAGACACAAGGTTGACATTATACTGTGGATACATTGTACAGATTGTGCATCACAAGCAAAAATAAAGATACTTATTTTGTTTGAAAGGTTAGATATAAATCACAATGATGAACAGGATGACAAAGTAATTTGTAAATCTGTCACCTAACTACCTACTTCACGTCAGCTAAATTATAGATATTAATAATAATAATATACATATATGGCTACATAATATGTGACATGAAGTAACCTAAAATCCCATCAACTTGCAATGATGATTGGAGGTGAAAAAAGATCTCGAATTTTGTTTAAGACTAAGAGGCCATGGGAATGCCCCTGTCCTTTAACTTCTCAACATCTCCAGGGTAAAGTTTACATGAGTCAGAAGCACAATACACTTCTTGTGGTGGACAAGTCAAATCACTCATCTGGGGCTTAACTGAAATACAATTGAATTTTGCACAAAAGAAAAATTTTCTTTGTACAACATTGTGTTGGGGAGTGATCCACAGTGCATTCACAGAAATATAAAGCATAGATTTAATCATTGATGATTTCCGACACCCTACACATGTAGCTTTACTGTCTTTTTCAAGCCTCCCAGCCGTCCACCTAACAGGAGTAAAAGGTCTGTTTTTCTGTAAGCAACAAACAGAGCCTCCTGCTCAACAGGTTCCAGCTGGACTCTCTGATTCTGAGGTTTACTCTGTCCTTCCCCCTCCCCCTACTTTCTATTCTCAGAATGTTGATCATTTGTTTTTGTATTGTTTATTAACATGACTCAACATCTTTTGTAAGTTCACTTTTTGTTTAGTCCTATCTGCCAGGTAATGAAATCATCTGCATTTAATTTAAAAACATGCTCATATAACCATAGTATGTGCTTGCAAAGTTGCTTGCCATTATATTTTTTAAAGTAAGGGACAGGAACAGTTTGGGGTTCGGCTAATTACTGTATCATATAGACCGTTCGTTACTTTATTGAAAATTTTGTACTTAAGTTCTGACACCTCAACAATAAGATTGCTAATAGATATGTTGTTAGCATTTTGTTTAACCCTCTGGACTGTCTCTTTGTGCAGTTTGCTAGGACATTTTCTATAGTTGTATGGACGCTTTTCTTTTGCTTTTCCAGAATTAGTCCTGTCCAGATTGTCTGGAGATTTTTCATCTGAATCTGTGGAGTCAATAGTTCTTCTCTCATGGCATGTTTTCTTGGAATAGCTTGAGTTAGTAGCATCTCCATGCTTTCTTTTTCTTTGTTTATCTGGCCGATGAGAACTTCTTTCATCAGGGACAAAAGTGTCGTCATATTCCCCTTCACATGCCTTACCAAACTCATCATTGTCATAAATGTTAAATAATGTTTCGCCATACGCTCTGGCTCTGTTCTGTTGGTCTGCATGTTCCCTGGCCTGTCTTGTTTTGCTGTCTGGACCGGTACCTCCACTGAAACTACCTCCTTCCAACT